GCTAGTGATGGCGAGCATTTCCTCATGTGTCTGTTGGCCATTTGAATGTCTTCTTTGGTGAAGTGTCTGTTCATTTCCTTTGCCCATTTTTTAACATGGAATATTCTTGATTCATTCAGATTATTTTTATATCATTTATTAGAGTTTAAAATTATTCCCCATAGAGATCTTTTTATTAGTTAAGTTACTTCCTAGATTTTTAAATAAATTTTGTTGCTGTCATGACTGAGATACACACACACATATTGTTATATTTATTTTTAAATTTAATTTTGTAGTTGAGTATTACTGGTGTAGGACATATTAATTTTGTAAGTTGATCTTATATCCAACAACTTCACTGAATTTTCTTATTCTAATAGTTTTTCCTTTTTATTCTGTTGGTTTTTCAGGGTAGATCATCATATTATGTGCGTATAATCAGGTTTATCTCATCCCTTCCAGTCTTCATACTTCTTAATTCTTTGTTTATCATGGGAGCCAGGACTTCCAAGATGGTTTCAATGGGTAGCAGTGATAGTGGGCATACGATTCTTTTCCCTCATCTTACAGGGAGCATATTTGAAAGTTTCTTCGCTTACGTATTATGTTTCCTATAGTTCTGATAACTTCTTTCAAGTTTCAGATGTTACGTTGCAATGCCTTGTTTGCTAAGAGTTATCAAAAATAGGTGTTGACCACATACAACTTTTGTTTCTTGGAACGATCATGGCAGTTTGTGGCCTTACTTCACAGCAGTTGCCCCCTCGGGTGTGTGCCTCTTTTGGCTCGTGACCTCGTGTTCCCGTGTTCCTATCTTGTCTGCAGGGTGCCTGAGCAAAGGCTTAAAGCTAGGCCCTGATTTGTGTCCCTCCAGGCAGATTTAAGAAATGGGAGGAGGTGAACTCAGAGTGGAGCATTTTACAGATCCACTACTGATCACACTTGTCCGTTGCTGCTCCACCAGGCCTTTCTTCTCATCAGGATGTCATCTTTCTACATTTACACAGCAGCAGCCTCCGCAGGAAGAGCTGTCTCCCCGTATTGTAATTGCAGACTTCACTTCCAGCCTCTGCCTGCCTCCTCCTGTTATCATCTATCCCGGCAAATAGGCTTTACTGTCACACACATAGATCAGTCTGCATCAGTGTTCTGTCTGTCTAGAATTTTCCAGTTTATGCCAGTTCTGCAAATCCAAATTCTTCTGTAACTTCTCCAGGGTCCATTGAAAGAGGAAGCCAGAAGTTTGCACACATTCAGCATTTAGACAAGAACTGTTGATTCTTTTATTTTTTATGCTATTGTTATATTTTCAGTATCTAAGAATTTTGTGTGTGTGTTTTCTTAGTGTTCTTTTAGTTGGCATTTTATTTAATGGATACCAGATCTTCTGTTATCTCTCTGAGGCTGTTATTTATTATAGTTTTTCTGTTTCCTCACAGATACTTGATCTTCTTTTGATCTCATTTTTCATGCTGGAGGCTTTCCTAAAATGTCTGGTAAACCTTGGCTTTCTGCTCATTTTCAAGAGTGAGATACTAGAAAAATGATTGGAATCTCTGTGTAGTGGGGGAGTGGGGCTGGTTTACTTGAGGCTGACCTGGCTGGGTTAATTTATTGTGGACTTCCCACTGTCAGTAACTGTTGGTCTTTTCTTTTGGGCCTAATCTTCCCAAAAGAGGAGTCCTTCAGTTTCCCTCTTGGAGTTATGAGCCTGGTTACCAGTGTTCTTGGGGTCAAGCTGGGGTAAGACAGTAGGATCTCATCATTTCAGTATTTGCATTTTCTGTTGATTCTTTGCTCTTAGTTCAGTACCCACACCCGTGGCTCTACCTGATGTTCCCGAGTCCAGATTCTCTCTGATTCTGTTTTTCAAGACTTCTGGTTTTCTGTGAGAGTGGAAATGTATAATCATCCTCCTTTGTGGGGTATGGGATGTGACCTTCAGGTCTCCACTTCTTCAGTTTTTGAACTTCAGCTTGCAGCATGCCCTGTGCACCACAGTATTAGAAGTGCCTCGTTCCTCCAGTTCTTGTATTCTTGTAGAGATCTGCACCATGAATCAGAACTGTGAATTTACCCACTTGGGCTCAGAGTCCAGCTTTCTCTGGTGACAGAAACATTTTTCACTTGTCCATTGGCTTTCCAGCTTCCCAGTTCTCTTACTGCTGTCTCCTCTCATGAGAACTTCATCCTAGTAGGGTTTTCCTTCCCCTTATTAAGCATTTATGTAATTTTACAATGGATTTGTGAAAGAGCAGTGGTAAATTTATATGCTCCATCTGCCACTTTTAACAGAAATGCCTTTTTTAAATTAAAGTATGTGTTTTTCAGAAAATTATTTTTGAGGGAAATACATCTAAAAACTCATCTATTGCCTCAGTGATTCAACAAGTACATACTGAGCTCCTGATACGTTTCAGGCATTTTGCCAAGCACTGAGTATGCATTGGTGAAGGTAAAAGACATTCATGCCTTAATTGGGTCGATGCAGATGTATATAACATTACAAATAATAAGTGCTGTTAAAGAGAAAGCAGAGTGCTCTCAGGTGTAATAACAGGAAGACCATAATTTAGACTAAAGATTAGGTGTGGACTCCCTAGAGATATACTATTCAAGCAGAGACCTAAATGATAGAAATTAGCAGGGACACTGGTGTGGTGGCACCATCGTCCCTATGCATTCCAGGCTAAGGGAAGATCCCTGTGAAGGCTCTGAGGCAGGGGAGAACTGGGTTTATTTGAAGGACTGGGCCTCCCTGAGCAAGTGGAAGTGAACAGTAAGACAAGGTTGGAGAGGCAGAAAGGAGCCACATCACTGGGGCCTGTGCTGGTAATTACCAAGGAATTTGGATTTTAGGTAGGCAAGGCCAGGCAGGCCAAATATCACTGCAGGTGCTGAATGGATTAGAGGGCACTGGAACATAATGGTGAGACTGTTAGGCGATTCCTATAGGGAGCAGTATTGATTCAGTGGTAGAATTACTGCTTTCCACGAGGGAGACTGGGATTCTATTCCTGGCCAGTGCACCTCTTGTGCAGCCCTGCCCATCTGTCAGTGGAAGTTTGTGTAGCTGTTATGATGCTGAACAGGTTTCAGTGGAGCTTCTTGACTAAGATGGGCTAGGAAGAAAGGCCTGCTGATCTACTTCTGAAAATCAGCCAATGAAAACCCTGTGGATCGCAAAGGTCTGGGGTTACCATGAGTCAGGACCAATTCAACAGCAGCTAACAAAACAACAGTAGTGATCTAGGAGAGAGATGATTCCGATCTGAAATACAATAATTAGACGAAGACAGTTTCAAGAGATTTTTAGGAACTTACCTAGATAAATGTCTTGGAAGAAATACAACCAGAATGCTCCTTAGAAGCAAAGATGGCAAGACTACGTCTCACATACTTTGGACATGTTACCAGGAGGGATCAGTCCCTGGAGAAGGACATCATGCTTGGTAGAGGGCCAGCAAAAAAGAGGAACACCCTCAACAAGATGGATTGACACAGTGGCTGCAACAACGGGCACAAGCATAACATTTGTGAGATGGCGCAGGACCAGGCAGTGTTCCATTCTATTCTACATAGGGTTGCTATGAGTTGTAACCAACTCAACGGCACCTAACAACAACAACCACCTAGATGAAAACTTGTTTAATGATCATATGGGACTAGGAGGAAAAGGGTTATGTTTCTGGCTTGACTCTTCGAGCCATTTCATTTGTCCAGTGTCCTTATTTTAGCTCTGACATTCTTCTATAATAATAGCTATCAAATACTAAGCACTTTACACCAAATTATTTACGTGTTATTCCTCTCCAGCAATCATGAGTTAAGCATTATCCCCAGTTTACACATGAGGAAGTGAGGGTTCAGAGACACTAACTGCCTGAAAACATAAAACTGGGGCTGATCTCTCATATGTCTACAGGGAGTTCTCCCCTCACAGAGTATGTTTCATCTTGTCTTATTCTTGTACATCTCAAACTTGAGCTGCCTCCCTTTTTCACTGCCATGACCCTGAAGGATCCATTCCTCTCTCTCCCAAAGTCAGTATCACAGAATTCCAAAGCAAACTATTTTCAGTGAATTCTCAACACATATACTTTATCCACAGGAGCGTCTTACTTGTCTACCATTTTTGTCAGATGCATCCAGCACATTAGACTTGCTACAGAGGCTGTCCCTTATACCCTCTCCCATGTGAATTTGCTGATTATGCAGTTATTTTACAGAGTCGCTGACCTCCCTCTCCATTTATATCTTTCTACACATTCCTTTTAATAGTCCTTTGATGTATGTCTGACAGTTGTCCACAAACTGCAAAACATACAGTATTATGCTCAATGTGTGTGTTGTTTTTAGGTGCAGTCAAGTAGATTTTCTCCATGTAACAAGGTAGAACTGCCACTAGGATTTTCTAGGCTGTAATCTTTATGGAAGCAGATCACAAGATTTTTCTCCCATGGATCCATGAACCTATCCTCTGGGTGGGTTCAAACTGCTAACCTTTTGGTTACCAGTGAGCGCCTCACCTATGTGTGTGTGTTTGTGCTTATATACATGTATATATTATTAGAATCAATGTATATGGAGGATGGCCCTGAGCAGTGTGTATTCACCAAGGTTTCCAGGTGATTCTGATCCATACCTAAATTTGAGGATCATCTATTTCTGTAATCACCCTCCTGAGCTTCCTCTATTACTTCTTTTTAATCTCAATGCCTTTCTTGTCTGTTTTACAAACTACCATATTTGAGAAATGTCAATATATTTGCTTTCCCAGATACTATTTTCAGTTGAATTCTCCCATTTTTTCTTTAGAAGTTTATCTTCTCCCTGAATAAGAAAAATGAATATTTGCCTTATTTTCTTTCAGATCTGGAATCAATGTGTGAGACCGAGATATTATCTCTAAAGAAGAGACATTTCAGTCAAGTAATATTTACACAGGGAGACATGCCCACTTTTATTCAGCCCACATTTCTTACTCCACATCAAAAAATTATTAATGAAGAAAAACCCTGTGAATGTAAGAAATGTGGAAAGGCCTTTAATCAGAACTCACAATTTATTCAACATCAGAGAATTCATTCTTGTGAAAAGCCCTATGAATGTAAGGAGTGTGGAAAATCCTTTAGTCGTGGCTCACTTGTTACTCGACATCAGAGAATTCACACTGGTGAAAAACCCTATGAATGCAAGGAATGTGGCAAAGCCTTTAGGTATAGTTCATATTTTTCTCTACATCAGAGGATTCACACTGGTGAGAAACCCTATGAATGTAAAGAATGTGGAAAATCCTTTAATTATTGCTCAAACCTTAATGATCATCAAAGAATTCATACTGGTGAGAAACCCTATGAATGTAAAGTATGTGGGAAGGCCTTTACTAAGAGTTCACAACTTTTGCCACATCTGAGAATTCATACTGGTGAGAAACCTTATGAATGTAAGGAATGTGGGAAGGCCTTTACTCAACACTCAAGGCTTATTCAACATCAGAGAATGCATACAGGTGAGAAACCTTATGAATGTAAGGAATGTGGGAAGGCCTTTAGTAGTGCCTCCACACTTACTAATCATCACAGAATTCATGCTGGTGAGAAACTCTATGAATGTAAAGAATGTGGAAAGGCTTTTATTCAGAGCTCAGAACTTATTCAACATCAGAGAATCCATACAGATGAAAAACCTTATGAATGTAATGAATGTGGGAAAGCCTTCAATAAAGGCTCAAACCTTACTAGACATCAGAGAATTCACACAGGCGAGAAACCCTATGACTGTAAGGAATGTGGAAAGGCCTTTGGTAGTCGCTCAGACCTCACTCGCCATGAGGGAATTCATACTGGATGAATGACAGAAGACCTTGTTATTAACCTTTATAATGTTTTTAAAAGCAGATAATGCATGATTGAAGGTTCCTCTATTAACACTATTTTTTCTAATTCATTTACAATTTTCTTTTATACATAACTTGTTAATCATTCAAATTTATTTTGTGAATTCAATGTCTAAATTAAATCCCCTCCCCCCCAAAAATCAAAGATTTTATCTCAGAACTACTTATTCAATAATTCCTTCCTTCCTCATTGTTTTGTTTGCCTTCTGGGTAATATATTTGTGTTTATATTACTTTGTTTTAGAGGCGTCTTTTCTAGTGATTGGTAGATCTGCATTTCTACCAGTACTACACTGTAAATTGTGTTACATCTCTTAATTCCTAAGAGAATTGTAACTTTGTTTTTGATGACAGCTTTATTTTTTCCTTTTATGAAACCAATATTTTCGTATTGTAAAAAAAGAAAACATATAGAAGCACAAAGAAGAAACTAAGAAATTTTCGTCATCTTACCAGAGATAACCACACTCAAATTGTAACTCCTTCCAAACTTTTTTTTTATAAGTGTAATCATGGTATGCATGCTATACAACAACCTGCTTTTATCGTGCCAAAATATACCATGTCTACCGTTTCAGTAAGTTTAGACCTTTATCATTATTTTTAATGGCATCAGTATTCTGTTCTATGGTTGACTTTCGTTTTGCTAAATAACTAACATCATGGTACCCTCTAAAGTTTTACGATTATAAAAGTTACTGTCTAAACTGAACTTTAATGGTTTTTGTTGTTGTTTCTATTTTCTTTAAAATGTTAATTTTCAATGCTGAAATGACTCTGAACATTTTCTCCCTATAAAATATTGCCACTACCAACAGTCTCAATCCCCTCAATGTAATCATTATTTTTATTTTTCCATACTTTTTCTTCCTATTTTTACTTACATGTATATGCACACGTGTGCATATGCATGCAGATGTATTTATATGTAAATATACTGGTAGAAATGTTAGACCTGTTTTATAATTTTTCATGTATAAATATATATGTCCATGATGTATGTATTGTGATGCTGTGAGGATTAAATGAATAAATTTAAAGTTTTTGTTAAGGTGAAAGTTTATAGCTCAAGTCAATTTCTCATACAAAAATTTATACACATACTGTTATGTGACATGAGTTGCAGTCCCTATGTGACAGCACACTCTCCCTTTCTACCTCAGGTTTCCTGCATCTATCCAACCAGCTCCTGTCCTTTCCTGCCTCCTCATCCTGCCTCCTCCGGACAGGAGCTGCCCATTTGGTCTCGTGTATCTGCTTGAAGTAAGAAGCACACTCGAGTGTTATTTTGTTTTATAGTCCAGTCCAATCTTTGTCCGAAGAGTGAGCGTCAGGAATGGTTTTAGTTCTGGATTAACAGAGTGGGGGCCATGGCTTCGAGGGTTCCTCCAGCCTCAGACCATCAAGTCTGGTCTTTTTACGTGGATTTGAGTTCTGCTCCACACCTTTCTCCTGCTCCGTCAGGGACTCTCTGATGTCTTTCCTATCAGGGTGGTCATTGGTGGTATCCAGGCACCATCCAGTTCTGGTCTCAGGCTGATGGAGTCTCTGGCCTATGTGGCCCTTTTATCTCTTGGGCTAATATTTTCCTTGTGTCTTTGGTGTTCTTCGTTCTCCTTTGCTCCAAGTGAGTTGGGACCAATTGATGCATCTTAGATGGCCACTCGCAAGCTGGAACTGCTCCTAACACAGTAAGTATTTAGTGGATGTTGGCCAATATTTAAATATGTTCATTATTATTTGTTTAGAGGACTTTAACCATGTTATACACCTTAGTTGACATCAGAGAATTCATAATGAGAAAGAATAGAGCGTAATACTTGTTGGAAACCTCACCAACACTTGTACCTTATACAGCATGTAGAGTTTTTAGAAAACAAACAACTAAGAAATAGAAATCAAGAAGGTATGGTTGAATCGGCCTACATTCGTACCTCATCCGTGATGCTGCACAAAAAGTTCATACCAGTTCAAAAATGTATTTACATAATGATAGTTAAAAACACAGTTGTCAAAAACAATATTATTATAAATATTATTTAAAAGGTCAGGAAATTTTACTCAACAATTTCTCAAAAAAAGAAAATATGTAGGTGACATTCTTTTCTAGAATGGGAAAAATATTAAGATAGCCAACAAATATCTGAATATCCATAATACGTCTCTGAATACCATGAGGTAATAAGGAAATCCCTGGATTATGATGTATTTTTAAATGAATGAAAATGAGCATATTATGTAGAAAAACCTGAGGATTGGCAACCAGATGTATATTCAGACAAAAATGTATTGTCTAATAGGCATTTTGTTGTTGTTCAGTGCCGTTGAGTTGGTTCTGACTCATAATGACCCCATGTACGACAGAATGAAACACTGCCCAGTCCTGCACCTTCCTCACGATCATTGTTATGCTTGAGCCCATTGTTGCAGCCACTGTGTCAGTCCATCTCATTGAAGGTCTTCCTCTTTTTTTGCTGACCCTCTACCAAGCTTGATGTCCTTCTCCAGGGACTGATCCCTCCTGATGTCCAAAGTATGTGAGATGTAGTCTCACCATCCTTGCTTCTGAGGAGCATTCTGGCTGTACTTCCAAGACAGATTTGTTCATTCTTTTGGCAGTCCATGGTATATTCTGTATTCTTCAGCAACACCACAATTCAAAGATGTCAGTTCTTCAGTCTTTCTTATTCATTGTCCAGCTTTTGCATGCATATGAGGCAACTGAAAACATCATGGCTTGGGTCAGGTGCACCTTAGTCTTCAAGGTGACATATTTTCTTTTTAACACTTTAAAGAGGTCTTTTGCAACAGACTTGCCCAGTGCAGTGCATCTTTTGATTTCTTGACTGCTGCTTCCACGGTTGTTGATTATGGATTCAAGTAAAATGCATCTAAATTGGAAAGGAAGAAGTAAAATTAGATCTGTTCACAGCTGACATGATCTAATACATAGAAAACCCTAAAGAATCTACAAAAATTATTAGAGCTAATAAATGAGTTCAGTAAAGTTGCAGGTAACATCAACATAGAAAAATCAGTAGTATTCCTATACACTGGCAATGAATAATCTAAAAATGAAACCAAGAAAATTCCATTTACAAATCAGAAAGAACAAAATAGGATAAATTTTAACCATGGAGGGGTAAATTTTGTACCTAAAACTACAAAACATTTTTGAAAGAAATTAAAGATGACCTAAATAAATGGAAATGTATCCTGTGCTCACGGATTGGAAGACTTAATATTCTTAAAATGGCAGTATTCCCCAAATTGATCTAAAAAGTCATCACAATTCCTATCAAAATTCCAACGGCCTTTTTTTGAAGAAATGGATGAGCTGATTTTAAATTTCATATAGAATCACAAGGGACCCTTAATAGCCAAAACAGTCTTTAAAAAGTAAAAGAAAGTTGGAGGATTCACATTTCCCAATTTCAAAACGTCTACAAAGCTATAGAAATCAAGATAGTGTGGTATTGGCCCATGAAGATAGTCTTATAGACCAATGGAATATAACTGAGTCCATAAATAAGCCCATATATCCATGGTCAATTGAGATTTTACAAAGGTGCAAAGACTATTCAATGGGTAAAGAGGAATCTTCAACATATGGTGTCGGGACAACTGGATAGCCACATGCAAAAGAATGAAGTTGGGCTATTCACACCATATACAAAAATAAAATGGATTAAAGATCTAAATATAAGAGCTAAAACTGTTAGAAACAGGTATAAATTTTCATGGCCTTGAATTAGGCAATGGTTTCTTTAAAATGACTCCAAATGCACAAGTAACAAAATAAATTTGACTTCATAAAAATTAAAAACTTTGTGTATCAAAGGACTCCATCAACTAATTGAAAAGGCAACAAACACAATGGGAAAAATGCAAATAATATATCTGATAAGGATCTAGTATCCAGAATATATAAAGTACACTTACAACTCAACAACAAAAAGACAATCTAATTTAAAAATGGACAAAGGACTTGAATAGACATTTCATCAAAAAAGAAATACAAATGGCCAACAAGCACATGAAAAGATAATGTCATTAGTCATTAGGGAAATGCAAACCAAAACCACAATGCAATAGGACTTCACACACACTAGGATGCCTCCAAGGAAAACCAGTTAATACGATTAATATTCAAATTTCTGCACCAACCACTAAGGCAAAAATTGAGGAAACTGAAGATTTTTACCAACTTCTGCAGTCTGAAATTGATCCAACATGCAGTCAAGATGCATTGATAATTACTGGTGATTGGAATGCAAAAGTAGGTAACAAAGAAGAAGGATTGGTAGCTGGGAAATATCCCCTTGGTGAGAGAAACCACGCCAGAGATTGCATGATAGAATTTTGCAAGACCAACGACTTCTTCATTGCAAGTACCTTTTTTCAACAACACGTGAACCTCACTGGATAGAAAACACAAGAATCAAATCAACTACATCTGTGGAAAGAAACTATGGAGAAGCTCAATATCATCAGTCAGAATAAGGCCAGAACAGACCATCAATTGCTCATACGCAAGTTCAAGTCAGAGCTGAAGAAAATTAGAACAAGTCCACAAGAGCCAAAATACAACCTTGAGTGTATCCCACATGAATTTAGAGACCATCTCAAGAATAGATTTGATACATTGAACACTAATGACAAGTCCAGATGAGTTGTGGAATGACATCAAGGGCATCATACATGAAGAAAGCAAAAGGTCATTAAAAAGACAGTAAAGAAACAAAAGACCTAAATGGATGTCAGAAGAGATTCTGAATCTTAGTCCTGAATGTCGAGTAGCTAAAGCAAATGGAAGAAGAAATGATTAAATAAAAGAGCAGAACAGAAGATTTCGAAGGGTGACTCGAGAAGACAAAGCAAAGTATTTTAATGATATGTGCAAAGACCTGGAGTTAGAAAACCAAAAGGGAAGAACACACTCGGCATTTCACAAGCGAAAGAACTGAAGAAAAAAATCCAAGCATCGAGTTGCTATTTTGAAGGATTCTATGGGCAAAATATTGAATGACACAGGAAGCATCAAAAGAAGATGGAAGGAATACACAGAGTCACTATACTAAAAAGAATTGGACATTCAACCATTTCAGGAGGTAGCATATGATCAAGAA